AGTTCCAGGACGAACACCTCCAGGATACGTTATTTGTCCGCCGGGGAAAGGTGTAACTCCAGGAATGACTCCTGTTCCAGGTTGTGTAATGCCAGGTATTCCAGTTGCTACCGGTGGAACTTGTATCTTATCTGGTGTCCCTTCGATGCCAGGATATCCAGGATATCCAGGACAATCTTCGCAACCAGTGCCGCCTGATGACATACTTTGCGCTTGACCCATACCACGACTACCACCTTAAAAAAGAGGTATATTAAAATACTTATATAAATAACTAGAAAAATATGAAAGTGTTTTCTTTGACAAAAGTCTTATTTATATATTCAGCCATAATTTCTCACCCTCCAATTTTTAATCATAGAAATTTAATGTTGCAAAAATTCTATTTCTTAATTTTATTTGTTATGTTTAACCAAACTGTTTTAATATGGATTTCTTTTTCTTACCTTAGAAAGGAAATTATTTAATTATCATGCAGGAGTATAACATGATTGAATGTCAAATGTTAAAATACTTACTAACTACTGCGCGCGAAGACTGCTGAGTAGCTTCGGCCTCAGCCGTGCCCTCTTTTTTTTCATTGCTATCGAAATTTAAATATTGAGATTGCGTCTGTCCACGAAACTTCCCTCGAAACTGGCTCGTTTGTCTACGTCGTCGAATTCGATTGACACTTTTGGTCGACTTCTTTCTGTGCTCAAGTTGAATCTGTCGCTTCGTCCGAGCTTTCAGGGGTGTTAAAACGATGTCGACTATGCGTTTTGGCAAAATATCGTTTTCATCTACAGGAATCTCGTTGAAGAAAGGATCAAGAGCACGTCCAGGCACATGTTTCGTTGTTTGTAACAAAAGGATATTACGTCCGTTGCAGAAATCAACGATTCGACCTCCAGCAAGTCGCCACGCCTGTTTAGAATATTAAATTTTGATATTGGCACTTTTTCCCTGATACATTCTATTTTGTTAACATTATTGTTATATTTTTCTTGTACGCAGTTATTTGAGTAACATTTTACTTTTATGTAGTTCTTAAGCGTTTACGACAACACATAATTACATGAAGAATACACGTCAAGAAAATTAAATTCAGATGATATATTTAATTTAACGCTGCATATTGTTCGGACGTATTTCAATTTACTTCACAATAAACGTTTAATCACAGCAAGAAGTAACGGGAAACAACATAATTCTAACGTTTATTTAATATGCAAGTATAGAGATTTGTCGAGAGAGACATAGAGAACAGTTACATCATGATTTCTAACAATTTCAACATATCATATAACTTATTATTACCTCTAGCTTCGTGAGAGCTGCCGACGCATACAGTATCTTGAATTGCCGCTTCTTACGTGACACATTCTGACCCTGCTTTATATCTTCAAGATAACAATCGTTCTCCTTTCTGCTCTTGTACGCGACGAATTGCTGTTTCGAGTGGATCAGTATTAATCGACATATTTCAATTTTAAGACAAACACAATTGCTTACCGTTACATCGTCAGTGAAAGACCATTGTTTCTCTTCATGATTATTTTCTGCGTCTCTCGTCTCGTACTCGTGGACAGATCGGTCGAAACGCGTCTTCTCCTATAAATAATATTATTTTTACATTATAATAATATAGTATCATAGGAATAACGAAAATTATTTATATCAATTAAAATAATAGTGTGAACGATAATTATAATAATTTATTATTATAAACAATTAATATACCTATACTGTTATATGTATTAATGTAATTTTATAAAATCGTAAAATCTGTATCTGATTTTACTTGTCTCCCCAGGACAATTTAATAAGAGATTAGATAAAAATTAGAATTCGCTTTCGACATCTTCGAAAAATCCTTAAATTCGAGTTCGCGCTTTCTAGTAACTTTTAATTCGAAAAAGATAAATCAAATTGAAGTGAGCCACTTTAGTGTACGGTTCTCCAACTTGGCGCACGGAATTCAAATTCGCAGCCTCGTCACAATTCGATTCTCCCACTCAATCGATTCGTCTTGGGAAGAGAGATAAATTTACATCGATCATGAACAATTAACGAGCCCCAGTCGAAATAAAATAATGGAATTGCAGTAGCATACTTTGTGTCAATCTTTCTTTCCATGCGTTAAACAACGAAGTATTCACAGTTCCATCCTCATCAGCAAAAATGATGAGGCGAAAGCGAATTCGCTCTTAAGAACGGAAAGAGAATTCATTTTTCAAAGTTTGAGAATTTATAAAAAAATTCTATTTTAATTCTCTGAGTTATCTGGGCTAATACACACACACACACACACACACACACACACACACTGACGCTTGCAACCGAGGGGAGACAGTTGCTCGAGGAACGAATTAGAAGGTTAAAGCTCACGAGATAAGAACGGACGATTATGAATCGTCTCAGTCCGTTCACAAGCAACCGCGCACAAAGCTTTTTTCACCCCTCTTTTATCAGAGCGTTTCCACATGATACGACTTGCAACAGTCTCGAAATCAATTAATGCCAAGGTGTGATTACCACATTTTAGCAGCCTTTCTGTCTTTCCGAGATGTTCTTGTTTTCAGTTTTTCCACCCCCTCCCTTCTACTCGCTGCCAAAATATCGACGTACACGTATAATTATATAGTCCGAAATTTTACCGTGAGCCATTTTGCCGGTCATGTTAATCGCTAACAAACCAGACAGTCCAGTCTGTCGAAAACAGATTCTGCAAAGTGTTTCTTTCAAATTTTGTCAGATCACAGATTTAGTAGTAAGATTTAGCGTTTAATAATGCAGGCAATACAACCAAATTTAACATTTGAAATATGATGACAGGTTGATGGCAGAAATCAAGCAGACCCTGACTACTTGTTACACGATTTGACGCCGACTGGAAGCAGAATTTATCGGAGGTACACTGGCATTTTGACAGCGGAATTGGCGGTAAAAAACGAACGAACAAAAGTCAGTTATTAAATGGTGTCGAAAAATTAATCGAAGCCTGGCCGATATTGTAAGTATCGACAATTTATCATATGAAAGCGCGTTTTCTTACGCGAATACGGTTGTAATCATTTTGAAATTGCAGCTCGGACTGTTTCCAGAGCGTATGAATGAAACGGCAAGTAGAGGGATACCTGGAGAGATCGCATTTCCGCGTTTATCGTCGCGGATAGATGATACACGTCGGCTGATTTGCTGAATTTTACAACGCCGCGCGAGCCAAGGCGTCGCGAAGTGCCCTAAATCGCAAGAAGGCGAGATAAGCGGCTATCTATTACTCTGAATTGATGAATAAGCGACTCACGCACACACACTCGGGCACCTAAAACATCACCTTTCACACATCCACGACGACCCCGTCAGTTTTACAGTCGAACGGAGACCTCAGCACGTTTTCCGCAAGTGCTTGTTAATCGTCCTCAAAATCTTGCGCGTCAAAGGAGCAGCGCGCCAATAAAATGTAAATTGAAAAATTGATGAATCCATTGATAAAAATAATTAAAGCGTATACGAAGCTTATGCAAGTCGCTAAATTGAACTAAACAAGATTGCAGTCAATGATTAATGCTAAGAACTTTTATTCTATTGTAGGCAATGCAATTTTTAAAAAATTCCTTCGCCGTTGGCTATTATTCACGACGTATGCGAGAGCACATCGGTTCACAAACCCTTTTCGGACGCACTGCGGATTTCATGTCTCGATAATTGAACGCGTGACAAAAAGGCGGGTGGCAAAACGTTTCCTCGCTCGCGGGGGAAATGGTGAACTTACGTGGTACCTCGCGAGTGTCGTGCTCGCGAGGAGGATCAGGACGACGAGGCACGGCCGCATGGCTCGAACCTTCTGCGAGATCTCCACGACTGGCGCGAATCAACGTCTCGGCGACGTTCTAATCCCCGCTTGGAGTAGATTCCCACCGACTCTACTCGCTTCTTCCGCTGCGCCTCTTCTTCTTCGGCCCCGTCGCAGTTGGTCCCACGAAGCGCCGCTTGGAATCGCAAAGGATCCATGTGGCGGGAGTAGGAATCGCTGGACGAAATTCCGGGAATGTGCGTCGTGATGTAAGTGCGTATAGACGCTCGTGTGTATCGTACGTTATCTCGTTTGGTCTCGTCTTGTCGCCGCGGATCTCATTACCGAAAGATATGCGCCCATGGCCGTCATTGACTTGGAAGATATGTTGCAGTTGGGGGGAAACTGATTCTTCAGTTTCGCTATCGCCCTCGTCGCTTCTTTCGACAGCAGTCCAGAACGGCCTGAACCAGTAAATGAATTTTCCAAGACTAAACTAGCCGACGGATTTAAAATTTCCTTTAATGAAATTTTCATCGTAATTTTATTATTCATTTTTATATATTATTTTTTATCATATACTTTTATAACAAATACTCCTGAAACAAATTATGCTGAGATACGAATAGGCAATCAAACCCACCAGTCGTATTATCGATAAAAATTTGTATCGTTAATTTCGTGAAAATTCTTTCATCTCTAACAAAGTATTCCAAGTCGCGTCAATATGCATCAGTCGCAAGCGACATTGAGTTAACTGGACTTATCGGGTTAGTCGCTTTCGCTTTCGTTGGCCTAATTACTGAAATCCAATCTATTTGTTAAACACAGTTAGTCGCTGTTTATCCTACTACCAAGCGTAGCTAATGATCGCATGGTTCATCGGCGCGATAACGAGCTCAATAAATAAAAGAGGCGACGCGAGAGAGTATTGAACGGGCAGCTTTATGTGAGCGCGCGTGTTGCAATCCGATAGACGTGGAATTAAATTATTTAACTAATGTAGGAAATTAATAATCGACACAACTGGCAAATTCTAATTAAAGAAATTTATTGCGAGAAATATTACCTCAGTCAGGGTTTGAACCTGGACATCCCTGCACTCTAGGCGGGCGTCTCACCAACTCAACCACTGAGGCACGTAGCAAATGTGAGACGCCCTGCTGGAGTGTAGGGAGGTCCAGGTCCAAATCCTGGCTGAGGTATACTTTTCGCAATAACCCAAGTAGAACAAGTTAATCACAAAAGCGTCAATGTGACATTAAAATGATGAATTTTACGCCATAAAATGATCGACATCAAGATTTACTTTGCAATGACTGATTTGTGACATGCTGTTTTATGATATTCGTTATGTGTGTATAATAATATATTATTACAGATTACATGATCAGTCATATATTATGTTTATCTTATATTACTTCTATTTATTTTTAATGTATAATATTTAATTAACATCAATGATTTTTATTGACCGTATCTGGCAATTAAAATTCTTATTGCGAAAAATCCGTGACCGATTGAGGGAGGTCCCAGGTTCGAATCCTGGTTGGAGTAATATTTTTCGCAATAAGAATTTTAATTGCCAGATACAGT